TATTGGGCAGTTCAATCATCTAAATTCAGCAAAACTGCAATGCAAGTTCTTTCTGTTATTTTCGTCAATACCACAATCTGTGGTGTAGAAATAAACTTGTGACAATTATTGCACATGCATTGCAAGAGAGTGTGTCAATATGTGTTAGTCAGATAGCATCAAAGTAATGTTTTACAAAAAAAAAAAAACTTACATGAGCGTGATCTCTGTCTTTATTTAAGAAACAGACTGATTCTGTCATCATGGCTCAAAGAGATGCAACAGTGGTAGCAATTACATGTAATTTCAATAAAACAGGTAAATTAAAGTACTATAAATTGACTTCATGATAACTTTGGCCACTAGGGTCTTGCCTTGCAAATCGCAGATAGGAAATTATCCACAAGGCTGCCTTGGGAATAGCCTCTTCCTTAGGAGAAAGTGCTCTTGACAAGAAACGTGAGAGAGGAATTTGGAGATTATTGGTCGTCGTTTCCGAACATTAAGCCACGTTAAGCTTTCTCCTTATAGCCTAATGTGAGTCAATAGGCGGAAAAACGCTTAATGTGATCTAACATTTGTTTTCTTCGGACTTCGGTTTTCATTTTATTATTGGAGAAAGCGCTCCTGACCAGAAATGCCCGAGAGGAATTTGGCGCTGAGTGGTCGCTGTTTTGGTGCATTAAGCCATGTTAAGCTTTTTTCACATTAAGCGTTTTAGAATGTCCCAAATGTGGGCCTACATTTCAGAAAAAGAAATGAGTGACAACAATATTTTATATAACTGATGCATAAAACAGAGAGAAGACTCCAGCTGTAACACCGATAATTTCTATCTATAAAATCTATCTCCAGTAAATGATGGGAAACGGGGAGATGGCGTTAACCGCATAAACTGTCACATACATTGACAAAATCTGCAATAAAAAACTCAGAATAGATGACTACAAACAGAAATTCTTGGATTGCGATCAATTTATAATGAACGGAGTTAAGTTTTATATGAATGGCGTTCAGTTTTAGATGAACGCATCAGGCTTTGGACAGGCATCGGAGAATGAATGCATCGGGAAATGAACGTATCAGAAAATGAACAGAAGGGTGTTCATCATCGAACGCAGTGACCAGGTTTGCAGCCTCAAACGCATCCAAAAATGAACAGGCGTTCGTTCAAAAATGAACGCGTTCACTGTTCACAATATTGACAAGTTCCCTAAACTAGCAACCAATTCAATCTTAACCCCATTTAAACATACGGGCGGAGGCTTAAAATACATATGAATATGAATAAGCACACACATGCACAAACAAGAGCAAATGCACTCACAATATACTGGGATCTAGAGAGAAAAACAATTGGTTTGATACAAACAGTGTCCTCAATTTCCTTTAAGAAGCACCCATTCAGAGGCAACTGGTTGGAAAACCACTACGCTCTACACAGTGTACTGTTAGCTGGACCATTCAGAGTTGATTTCTATGGCGTTATCTGTGGTCCCAGATTGACTGACTGCATAAGTCTGTCACCCCCATGAGACAGAGCACCTCCTCTCTCATTCTCTTCCACTTCTTCGCTCCTCAGAGCCCCCATCTGCTCCCATTCTCTCCATGAATCAATTTAACATGTGTTGCATCTTTGACTTGTGCTCACAACACATGTAATGCAAATATTAAAGTGAAGTGATTATGGTTTTTCATCATTTTAATGTCATTGTGTGAATCATATTGTTTTTATGCACATTCAAAAGGTCTGTGTAAGAAAACAACTTTAAGTGACCTCCAGAAAAAGCTCTCTTTGCTGCAAAACACTGCTCCAGAGCTGACTGAAAAGCCTCGACAGCTTCTGGCCATTTTTTTCATCAATTGGTGATGTCACAAATTGAATTTTTGCGCCAAGCAGATAGTTTGGCAAGCCCTTGAATCTAGCAGGTTACGCCCACAAGGCTACACCCGGTATTTGTTTCTAAAGCTCATTTGCACTCTGGAGTGGAAATCCACTTATAGTAAGGGGCGCGACATTTCCGACACATGCACAAAGTGGGTGACCAATCACAAGTGAGTTTCAAGTTGACCAATCACAGCACACTGGGGTTTTCAGGAGGGCAGGGCAAGGACCTCAACAGAGCGTTTCTTGCACAGGTACTGCATAAATGGCCAGCATGAGAAAACTCAAGCGTTTTTGTTTTTTTTAAACAATGAAGCATTTAAACCTTTTTTAGTAGTCCTCAATAATACAAGAATAACCAATAAAAAGTAACTTAAAAGGTGTAATTTAATGCCAAAAACTGACAAATTTCTCCCTCTCTGTCCATCTTTGACAATTCATTGCTCCGAGTGTGTTTGCGTTTCTATGCACCAACCAAGAGGTTTTTACAACATTTCATGCTTGAAGTCATCTTTTCTGCGAGTACGGATCCCATATTGATTCTCCACTGCTCCCCTCATGTGGCCCCTCCACAGGGCATCGCGTACTCCTCTCTCCACAAAACGTGTCAGCAGTGAGACAGCAGAAGTAGCGGACTGGAACCAACTTCAAGCTGTAGCTGGGGATGCCGACAAAACCAGAGTTGAAACGTCTAGAAAGATCACGAGAGCTAGTCATCAGACAATTAGAAACACAGAGGCAAGCATGGCAGATAGATAGATAGATAGATAGATAGAGAAAGACAGAAAGACAGAGGGTAAGAGGAAGGAAGATGCACTCCCATCCTGAGGATTACTCAAGTCATGCCATTGCCTGTAAAGTAAAGTGACTTTGTGTTGGGACTATGAAACTGGATAGCATGCTGCAGAAAATGCTCACATTAATCTCTTCGCTCACTGAAAGAAAAATCAGCTGCACTGATGGATCATCCTGGATATGCCTGTGTACTAAGAAAATACATTATAAATTGTACTAATATGTACGGCTGATGAGCATGGTATTTTACCGATATTTTGTTTAATTGCAATAAACTAAATTAAAAGGGTAAACAATGATTTTATGTCACTATTGAAAGAATACTTCTAATTTGCTTTATTTGCCCTCTTGAAAGGCAATCGGAAACTTTTCCTGAAAAACATTTCCTCCTTACCATGATATTAGGTCCAGATCCATGTTATAAGAAATAGCCTGCCAATCCAAATAGCAAATGGTGAAATAGCAACTCTATTTATCAAGCATGCCGATATACTGAAGCGGTTAAATGTTTTGGAAAACTAAATAGACTGAGCAGAAAGAATGAGCTAAGCAACTTTGACAGAAGTGTTATTGTTGGTGCCAGACGTGGTCTTTTGGGGATCTGAGTCACAGGATTCCTCACAGGATTTTCATAAAAGACATTCAATGGATTCTTACAGAATATACTACAAAAAAGACAAAAATCAGCAGCAATTAGAGGCATGGAAATGCACTGTTAATCAGAGGTCCAAGAACAATTGGCAGACCACTAGGAAGGTCACAAATGAACAAAGAAAATGACTGAAGCTTGGAAAAATGTTTTAAAAAGTGATGAGCAGCATGCAAGTACCATTTTTTTCCTGTGTACAATATTGACACAGTACCGACAGAGCTGTGAAAAAGTATTCCCCCCCTTCTTTTATTTTTACATATTTGTCACACCAAATGGTTAAAGATCTTCAGTGAAAATGTTAAGACAGGATGAGGAAAATGTTTTAAAAGGGACTCAGTCCACATTAATAGTATTCAAAGATCACAAACTCAATGATTTATCAAGAGAATCTTGTGAATATCTTATCACTGATTTTTGAAAGGATTTTGAGTGTTTTGCTGTCAAGCTTTTGCCAAAATAAAGAAATAAATTGTTATGAATTGAAAATCACAACAAAGAAAACCAGCAATGACAACTTAAACAAATTTATTCTTCACAGATTAAGTCCAAAAATTTCTACAAATTATCCACCGTGCAATCTTATAATAACACTCTAATGTCACTATGTAACTCTGATGCCAAAACAAAAACCTCTTGAACTGACCAAAATCACAGCATTTATATCGCCTAGGAACATTCTGGAAAGATCTACAGGATTCTTGAGTAATCCAGCCCCCTCCAGGCAAGAAGATGCCAGAAACCTCTAGAAAGCACTAGTCTATTTCATCACAAACAAGAGGAATTGCATCAGATGATGTTTTGCTACAGACATACCACCAGAGGGTGCTAAATGATGAACAAAATAAACAAATAGCTGACCAGTAAGGCAGCACAAATAGTCTGTGACAAATCTCCATTTACAAATGATATACAGTGCTTTACATAAAACACACAAACAAAACACCTCCCCTCTTTAAGAAAAGAAACATTTGCTAAAAGCTTTCTTTAGTTAAAATTAACATGGTTTTATTATCAGTATTATCTTGAAATGTTGCACATGAAGTATCATTGATCATTATAACAAGCATATACATAACAACCAGTGCAATTTTCACAATCAAATAGAGAAGTAAAATTACATGCGAGAAAGTGCATCTGGAATATCATTATCTTTTCCCCTGATGTGAGAAATGTCTAAATCATACTCTTGCAAAAGTAAACTCCATCTCAGTAATCTTTGATTCTTCTTTTTGATCTTATGCAAAAATGTGAGGGGATTGTGATCACTGAAGACCTTGATGGAAGTAGCTGAACAAGTCAAATAGACTTCAAAATGTTGTAAAGCCAAAACAAATGCCAATCATTCTTTTTCAATTGTTGAATAGTTTTTCTGATGTTTATCAAACTTTTTGGAAAAGTAACAAACAGGATGATCAACTCCATCAGTGTCTTCTTGCAGTATAACTGCGCCTGCACCAATATCACTGGCATCAACAGCCAACTTGAACTCCTTTTTGAAATTAGGAGATAAGAGAACTGGTGCATTTTTGAGGAAAGCTTTCAGTTGGTCAAATGAATTTTGACATTTTTCATCCCAAACAAATTTTGCATTTTTCTTCAGTAAATTTGTCAAAGGTTCAGAAATGATGGAGAAATTTTTACAGAATTTTCTGTAGTAGCCAGCCATCCCTAGAAATCTCATTAGTGGGCGCCCCGGTGGCTCATCGGTCAAAGCGCGCGCATCATAAAGGCTGTGTCCTTCCAAGGCAACCCGGGTTCGATTCCGGCTCGGGTCATTTGCCGCATGTCTTCCCCATTCTTCTCCCCAACCTTCCTGTCTCTCTCTACTCTGCAACTGTCAAATAAAGGTGAAAATCCCAAAAAAAATCTTTAAAAAAAAAAAGAGATCTCATTACTTGTCTTTTAGTTGTAGGCTCAGGAAATTCAGTGATAACTTTTACTTTTGCATCAATTGGTTTGACTTGACCCTGTCCTACAATATGACCTAAGTAAACAACTGTAGCTTTACAAAAGTCACTTTTAACAAGGTTGATAGTCAGCTTGGCATCACTCACTCTCTGAAAGAAGTCTCTGATGTAGGTGAGGTGCTGTTGGAAGCTGTCGCTGGTGATGATAATATCATCAATGTAGGCCTCACATCCTGGTAGTCCAGTGATCACTCTGTTTACTAGGCATTGGAAGGTGGCTGGAGAATTTTTCATTCCAAAGGGCATCACCTTGTATTGGTTCAGTCCATCTGGTGTGACAAAGGCAGAGATCTCCTTTGCTCTTTCTGTTAGAGGGATCTGCCAGATCCCTTGAGGAGATCAAACTTGGTGACATACTTTGACTGTCCAACTTTGTCAATGCAGTCATCAATCCTGGGAATAGGATATGAGTCCGTTTTCAAAAGAGTATTCGCTTTCCTGTTTTCTGTCACCATTCTATATGTTCCATTGGGTTTCGGAACTAGGATGCACGGAGAACTCTAGTCACTGTTACGTGGTTCAACAAAATCATTTTCAAGCAGGTATTTGACTTCTTGTTTAAGGTATTTCTGCTTCTCTGGATTCATTCTCTAAGGATGCCGTTTTACAGGCTTGGCATTATCTTGTAGGATGATATCATGGTAAACCATATCAGTCCTCGATGGAACGTCAGGGAATATGTGACTATATTCAAATATGAGCTGCTTTAGCTGTTGTTGTTGAAAAGGGTCCAGGTGGGACAACTTGCTGTCAATATTTTGAAGAATGTCTGAATTTTCAAGTTTGGCTGGACCAGGTTAATTTTCCAAGGGGCAGTCACAATCTTCTTCATAATTTTCCAGTTCAATTGTATTTACCACATTGAGTGGCTTTTGCTGAGTGTCTCTGTCAATGTATTCTTTCAGCATGTTGATGTGACACATTTGGGCCAAAATATCGAGCTCTTAGAGGATTTCCTGGAACTGGCAAAAGCGCAAGGACTTTGTCACCAGTTTTAAAATGTCTATCTCGGGAATGAAGGTCATATCTGGCTTTCATTTTGCCCTGAGCCTCTTTGAGATTAGACTTAGCAAAGTCACAAGCCTTAGAGAGACGACTACGGAAGTCAGAGACATACTGAAGCAAGTTCATTGGGACATCATCTTCGGCCAGCAACTTTTCCTTCAGAAGCTTCAGAGGTGCACGGACTGTATGCCCAAAAATAAGCTCAAAAGGACTGAACCCAAGAGACTCCTGAACAGCTTCACGGGCAGCAAACAGAAGAAGATGGACACCTTCATCCCAGTCTTTCTCTGTGTCAAGGCAGTAGGTCCTTATCATGTTCTTCGGGGTTTGATGGAACCTCTCCAAAGCACCTTGACTCTCAGGATGGTAAGCTGATGACCTGTATTGTTTAATACCAAGCTCATGCATAACTTGCTAAAATATGTCAGACATGAAATTTGACCCTTGATCAGACTGAATAGACTTAGGAAGACCAACAACGCAGAAAACCTTGGTAAGAGCCTTGATGATAGTCTTCGCCTTGATATTACGAAGTGGAATTGCCTCGGGAAACTGGGTGGAAGCACACATGATAGTCAGTACGTACTCACAACCAGATCTAGTCTTCAGCAATGGTCCAACACAGTCAATGATGATCTGACTGAAAGGTTCTTCAAAAGCGGGAATGGGCTTAAGTCGAGCCTTTGGAATATTCTGGTTCGGCTTCTCAACCATTTGACAAGTATGACAGGATTTGCAGTACTCCTGTACATCGGACCTCATGGAAGGCCAGAAGAAATGATTCCTGACACGTTGAAGGGTCTTCTTGATACCCAAATGACCTGACATAAGATTGTCATGGGCCAGACTAAGAGTTTCTTGACGATAAGACTTTGGAAGAACAATTTGATGGGTGATCATCCACTCTTCATCTGCAGAAACATCAGGTGGATGCCACTTTCTAATAAGCACACCATTTTTGTCGTAAAAACAGACAGGAAATTGAGTAGTCTCTTGTTCACTTGATGCCTGTGGTAGAAGATGCACTAGATCGCAAGCTTGTTGTTGCTCCCGAATAAGTTGTTTTTGAGATAGAATGTCATTAGAATGACCTAACAAGGACAAGTCTGAAGATTTCCCAGACATCTCAGGACTGAAAGGTTCCTGATGAAAAGACTGCCCGATGAAGGTGTCAGCCAGATTGAAGTCCAGGTCAGCATCATCTTGAATAGCCTTTTTGGCCATAGAACGAGTAACTGCACATGAAGGATAGAGGTCTGGAATTTCCTCCTCTATAGATTCAGATTCTTGATCAATCAAAGGAGTGTCAGTTACAACAGGGTAGGGCACAACCTTATCCCCAGCAAGATCATTACCAAAAAGCAAATGAACACCTTTGAAAGGAAGAGAAGACCTAACACCAACAGTAACAGGCCCAGAGACCAAGTCTGATTTGAGATGAACATTATGGAGAGGTACACTTGTAAAACCACATTCTACTCCTTGAATAAGGACATTAGCCTGAGTAGACGTTTTGTCCGAAAAAGGTAGAATATCTGCAAGAATAAGAGATTGGGAAGACCCAGTATCCCTTAGAATTCAAACAGGAGCAGATGAGGAAAAATTATGTGAAAGTGAGACAAAACTATCGGTGATGAATGGCTCAAAACCCTCCATAACAGAATCAGAAACAGAAGGTAGAAGATCAGGCAAACTGACCTTTGATACAAGAGATTCTCTCCTAGAGAAAGCAGTTGGCTTGGTTTCTTCCCGTTGTTGTTTTTTCTTGAGAGCATAACACTCAGAAATAAGGTGACCTTGCTTTTTGCAGTATTGGCAAGACACAGAAGGTAAAGAATCAGAGGATTGCTTCTCACTGGAAGGCTTCCTCTCAGAAGTGGCCTTGGAATCATTAGAAGTGTTATTAGAAGCAGTCTTGGACTGAGACTTGCCTTGAAATTTCGAAAAAGTGGATTTTTGGACAAAAGAAGACTTACGAGTCAATGCATAACTATCAGCCAGGGTGGAAACATCTCGCAAAGTATTGGCTTGTTTCTCCTCAAGGAAAGTCTTGATATCAGGCTGGATGCACCTTTTGAATTCCTCAACCAGAATAAGGTGCCTCATTCTGTCAAAATCTTTCTCAACTTTCATGGAATTACACCACTGATCAAACAACCATTCCTTCAACCTGCCAAATTCAACATGAGTTTGACTGGCTTCCTTGCGAGAATTCCTAAATTTTTGCCTGTAAGCCTCGGGGACCAATTCATAACCCTTCAGAATGGCACATTTGACAAGATCATAATTAGAACACTGTTGGACAGATAACTGGTTATCGATTTTCCTAGCTTTACCAGTAAGAACACTTTGTAACATCATTGTCCAATGCTCTTTTGGCCAGTTAAAATTTTCAGCAATTTTCTCAAAATGGGTAAAGTATTGCTCTACATCACTTTCTAGGAAGGGAGGAACAAGTCTGATGTGTTTAGCCACATCAAAATGATCAGAAAGTCCAAAAGATTTTGTTACAGTACCTGCTTCTAGTTTCTTCATTTCCAGTTCATGCTGCAAGTGCATCCTTCTTTTTTCCAGTTCTTTCTCCAACCTTCTTTCTTCCAGTTCCCTCTCCTTCTCCAACCTTCTATCTTCCAGTTCTCTCTCCTTCTCCAACCTTCTTTCTTCCAGTTCTAGTTGTTTCTGTCATAGCTGAATCTCAAGTCTTTGCAGCTCTGTTGCAGACACTTCCACATCTTTAATCAATTCTGCTGCTTCTTCCCCAAAGATATCTTCATCGATGAAATGTTGCACCAAAATGTTGAATATTTCTTGTTTCTTCACTGATGATTTCACATCAGATAATCCAAGGGTTGAGGCTATTTGCAGCAAGTCCTTCTTTGCCAGCACAATTGATTCCTGGGATGGAGTTTTCAGAAAATTTCAACATCATAAGTCATGATTGCTGGTTTTTCAAATAGTCACAAGATTTAAAATGATAGTTCAGCTTTAATCTTTAGTGAATCCAATGGTTGATCCAATGAATGGTATATCTCGGTGGAACCTCCAATTTGTTATGACTTGAAAATCACAACAAAGAAAACCATCAATGACAACTTAAACAAATTTATTCTTCACAGATTAGGTCCAAAAATTTCTACAAATAATCCAATGTGCAATCTTATAATAACACTCTAATGCCACTATGTAACTCTGATGTCAAAATAAAAACCTCTTGAACTGACCAAAATCACAGCATTTATATCGCCTAGGAACATTCTGGAAAGATCTACAGGATTCTTGAGTAATCCAGCCCCCTCCAGGCAAGAAGATGCCAGAAACCTCTAGAAAGCACTAGTCTATTTCACCACAAAACCACAAACAAATAGTATTGCATCAGATCATGTTTTGCTACAGACATACCACCAGAGGGTGCTAAATGATGAACAAAATAAACAAATCGCTGACCAGTGAGGCAGCACAAATAAATCTCCATTTACAAATGATATACAGTGCTTTACATAAAACACTCATACATAAAAAAATAAAATGGGGAAAAAAAATAATAATTATAATAATACAAATTTACTTTGAACTCTTGACCTCTTGACTTGGAACTCTCCTGACATGCGCCCTTGGAACCGTTAGCTCGCTTATTATACAATGCTTTTTAGTTACAAAGTTTTGTTAATTGTGAATAAATGTATTATATCAAATGGTAACTGTGCCTGTTTAGGTTGAAAATAGGTATTAGGCCATGCATCAGATATATCACTGAACACATTCTTTGTCTTTAAGATGCGTTCTGAAAATTGTTTTCCCTCCAC